TCTCTCACAATAGTGTTAAACAATATTTTCCTGCTTGTTAGAAAAAAGAAATTGTGAACAACTCATACTTCCAAGTGTTGCATTTAAACAGATAAAAGGTTTCTTCTGCAAAAGTCTCATAATGCTTTACATGTTATAAAGAAAGGAAAGAAAGCTAACAAGAATCGGAAGAAATCTGAACCAATTTTGTCAGCCCACTTTCATGTCTAAAACATAGGTAAGGATGGGAAGCTGAAGACTAAGGACTAGTAGACAAAGACTTAACCAATGTATAGACTCACTCAAATTGATCATCATCTGTTTAAGTGTGACTGACAGCTTGGAAACTTTAAAAAAAAATCCAAAAACCAACTCACTGATAATGAATCCAACATCACCTCTTCTCAAAAGAAGGGCACAAAAATCTCACAAGATGAGTCATCTAAGTTTGCAACACATACACTGATAAGGACCTTTCAGATTTCATGAGAAACCTAGCAAGCAACAGTATGGCCAAAATACTATTTCCTTTTGCCCACTTATAAAATTCAAACTTACTGTAATCCATTCCTCTGATCAAAAGCAGGGATCATAGAATTGGGATGCTCTGACATCAGAGCAACAAGCAACTGCAAGACATCCATTAGATTGTCATCCTGTTGAATAAAAGTTATAAAATCGAATTTAAAATGCATGTACACTAGAACATTGTTCTGGTTGAGAGAACCACTACAAAACATTTCAAAAGTATCTGAAAAGCAATATTAAACTAAGGACCAAAACAATTAGGCCAGGATCAAAAGAGGTATAGATCTGGAAGGCAGGCACAGGAGAAAAATGTTACCAAAAAAAATACTTCTTTTTCGAGAATGTTAAGTGATACATCTGTGTCTGGGATGTAAGCTTTTGACAGGGAATTGTTGGACTATGCTATTTCTTTCCACAAATGTGCTCATCTGTTTCTATGCTTATCCCCCTCTATTTCTAGCTCCTGTTGCAGTAAAGAAAACTGCTGCACATTTTATCAGGCACAGGTTGGTCCTTAATGAAAAACCTCTACCAACAAATGTACGCTCCAGGAAAAAAAGAATACCACCACCTGTCACAGACCAGCAGTAATTCAAGCTGCTCAGTAAAAGTTTTCCATACTGTTAGTCTAAAGTACTCTAAACTACAATTTATTAATTTGTTCCAAGTTAATTATAACTAAAAATGACCTACAAAGTAGAAAAATGCATCTGTCTTCCCACTCCTTGTGGTATTTACAATGGAAGTTTATTTTTTAAAAAAACAAACACCTCAAACAAACCCACAAACTCAAACACTTTTGAACAAATATTCTGATTCTTTCTCTATTAAAACAAAATCTTTTACACCGCCTGAACCACTGTGTCCACCTGATCTCACTAGCTTACATTACAGACACTGAGACTGATGAACAAGCCTCATGAGAAGGCTGAATTTTACTTTTTTGCTAATGGTTTTCAGAATTTACAACTAGATACCTAATTCTCTAGGATTCAGCATTTATGGTCTTTTAGACCACACAAACTGCTAAGATAGGTACAATATCACCTCCTCATCTGAAGGTTCTATAAAGCTTCTGCTATTTTGTTTGCCTCTTACATGTTACCAAGAATCTTATTCTTCACATCTCCATGTAAAGCAGAATGACTAAATTGCTTGACCAGGGTACTACCAAGTAGTAGTAACCAGCATAGAAAATAAAAAGAAAACACAGGTGTTAACAAAAAAAAGAAAAAAGAATCCATACTGCCTGAAGTTCAATTAATTCCGTATTTTACCCATTTCAAGCACCCTTACAGAGACGAGATCAGTTAGATTTATGTCCCCATTTCCCTTGTCTTTGATGTTGCATCTGGCATGAAGTGCCTTTTCCTGGTGCTAAAATATGAAGATGCAGATGTATCAGTGGTAACCAACATTTTCTCCCAATTAAGTTTATATGCTTCTCCTAGATGCCATTAACATACATCTTTATTTTTTAATGCGTGTTTTCAATATTATTGCTTTATTTAAGAAGCAAAATAAAAAGGAAAGGAAAAAACCAAAACAAAAATATTACTTAGGCAGCACAAAACAAGGTTTTGCCATTTTTTTTAAGTCCGTCTCACCATCTGTTTTTCTGTTTGGTAAATCGGTTTGTGGAACAACATAAGAAAGCATTTTGACTTACTGGCTTAATGAACTTCAATCTAACATTGAACATAGTGCTTAAATCACTGCAAGAACATTGGCAATTCAGCACACTACACTGAAGAGTGGGACGATGTTTGCTACTTTCTCTACAGAGCCATCTTGTGGCATGAAGAACGTAATATTTGAAAATATTCAAATATTTGGTGGTCACAAACAGAAGTAGTATACCGCTCCTCCCACATACCCCCCAAATTAAAAATTACCTCATGTATAGTGAGCAGGTAATTGAGGATAGCCTGCAACTCATCTTCTTTTATTCCATAGTCCTTTAAAAACAATCAGGTTTTAACTATCATCTTTCAAGTACAAAAGTACTGTTCCCAAAAGAGCATTATTAATACAAACAATGGTTATATACAGAGCAAGTCCCAAAAGACAGATTTCTTTTCACTTGGTACGGTAATAGCTTCACAGATGGAAAGTAGCTTTTTCCCTGCCCAAAAAATACCCACTGAAGGTTATCAAAGTGCTTTAAGATGATTCTAATACAGGCATAAATATAAGCGGGAAATAATATAGCACGTGAAATTGCTGGAATAACATGTCTTAATTGATACGGACAATTCAAACTGAGAGCTTCCTATTAATAGAAGAATCAAATTAAGGTGGCAAAGAGGATTCAAGAGTAGACCTGGATGTTTAAACATAAGCCTGTTAGCTACGCCTATAGCTGAGTTTGCTTCTTATTTTCCAGCTTCAGCTGCTATCAGCTTTGCAGAAATTTAGATCATTTATGGCATCTGTGTCAGCGATATGTCCTGAGATCTTTTTGGTGAAAATAAACCAAAACCCAACAGTTTCTAAGAACAGGATGAGGGTAGGAAAAAGCAGGCTTCTTCATTTCTAGGGCACTTATTTTTTAAAGTAAGTCTCTCATTTCCCAAAAATATTTTGTACTGCTGCGTACAGACGGAAGGTTTGCCGAAGAATCAGCCTTTTATGATGGACATGCTTTTTATTGTCCCTGTGAAACTCCATCCAGAACTGTCCAAGTTATAAATCTCTGAGATAAATTTAAAAAAAAAATAAAATAAAAATACTTCCATAAAATGTTGGCTTAATTTTAAGAGCTTGGTAGCTAAATTGTGCCTGATTCTTAAAAGTGGGTGTTCTGCAACTGAAGTAAAAGTACAAGAGTAACGAGCAGAACTTTTCTGGTAGTTACTCCTCTGTTCTGCTGGGGCTAAGGGTAGCAGCAGGAGAGCACACTCGTCCCTTAGCAACACAGGGGAAGAGGGAGCTACATTCAAACACAGAAAAGTCAGTCTACAGAAGCGAGAGAAGAAGAGACAGATCAGAGCTTACAACAGGAAAGGGTGAAGAAGAGTCTATAAGCAGTAGAACTGCTGAATTTCAATATTCCTCTAATGTCTAACAAACACTGGGGAAACTTATTGATAGAATCTGTCTTATTCTCCCCCGTCCCACTGGCCCACAGCATATTATGTCAAATATCGCTCTTTAGTCCTTAAGCACATCTGATGCAAGTGACAGAAAAAAAAAAAAAAAGGAAAGGAAAGAAAAGAATGAAAAAAAAAAAAGTAGCAAATACCTCTTTCCGCAGTGGTAAACATTTCCAAGGTAATGATTTAACAGCCCCAGTTTTGATAAAAGCAGCTTAAAAGGGAGAAAAATGCACCTATGCACAGCCACAACAAAAATATGCATGTGGTATTTTTAATTGCTTATTTGTTTGCAAAATTCAGCATGCTTAGGAAAAAATGCTATATTAATAAAGTATTTCTTTATGAAAAAAGAACCTTAGATATCCTACCACAATTTTAAGTTATCCTACCTTCATCACTAGCTGTTTAATAAACATCAACAAGAATGCTCGCAGAGATAAAATCTCTTTCTGAGTAGGCCGTGGCCCATCTACGAAAGAAGAAAAGCAGATACGTGAAATGCAAATTAACAAATGTTATCAGCATAGCATTTCCACATAAAGAAAACTAAATGGCATCTTCAGGGTGCACAATTCTGAATAGTTATCTTTCTTCCACTTCAGACTAAAAAACAGTAATGTGTTTAATCACTGTTATTACCAAAATGCCCAATCAGTGAGTTTGTACCAAGGTTTTCATTAAACAGTTTTTCAAAGCCCTCTAAAATTCTTCTCACAATTTTACCACTTCCTTGCAGTGTCTACGAACCAACTTCATGCAAGGAAAAAGACTGATAGGAGAACTTTTTGTCAGAATTTCCAAATTTTAAACAATTGCAGTTTACAATTGTTTTTAAAAGTTCCTCTGCTAAAGCTCAAAAGCAGGAACTGCATCCATTACCATACATTGGCTACATACACAATAAAACCCAGTCTTACAATGCTATGTATAAAGATCACCTGGAAAGCCACAACTTAATTTGTTAACTCAAATTCAAAAGGACTTGCTTCAGTCATTCCTGTGTAAAGCAGAGTTCTACTGAAACATTTTAATTACTCAAACATTGAGTAGTTCCCAGGAGAGGCAAGGTTAAGAAAACAGGTGCCACCTAATGTCAAAGCCAAGTAAAAGCTTTCATACAGAAAGCAAAATGAACTGTTGCAAATACATTTCTACGGATAGTTTTTAACATTTGCTGATAGGTTCACAGTTCTTATCTTAACCATCAGGAAAAAGCAAAAACAATAGCAAGTGCAAGTGATCATAGGAATCTTTTTATAGAGTGTAGGCCCACAGGCATATCTGGTTTAAGAACAGTTCTTTTCCATATTACAGAATTGTTATGGTTGGAAAAGACCTTTAAGATCAAGTCCAACTGTTACCTAACTCTCCTAGGCCCACTTCTAACCCATGGCTTTTATAAACATCCAAGGACTGCAATTCAACCACTTCCCTGGGCAGCCTGTTCCAGCCTTCCATAATCCCTCCAGTCGATAAGTTTTTCCTAATGTTTAGCCTAAACCTCCACTGTCCAGTGCTTGATCAAGCTCCATAAAGGGATCATATTCCCATGCACAGCTCTACACTTTCAAAACCGACCATTTCTCTGACTGGTTCTATCTAGTATTAATTCATGTAGGCCTTTGATGATAGAGGATATGACTTCTGAAAAAGTATCCAAGAATGTGAAAACAAAAGCTTTCAGGAAGAGCTCACGGACAAAGTACACTGCTCGAACTGTGACAGTGAACCCATGCAATTAAAATAAAATAGTTTCTGGAAAATTTACAGTTCTATTCTATTCTCTAAATGGTATGCAATATTTTTAAAAACCAACATTAGCTTGTGAGAGTATAAATGATACATACCTACACCCTTGGGAGTTATACCACTGCGATCCTGTGGATTCACTACCCAGTAATAATACTTTAAGGTATGCATGACCAAAAGAACCGTCCCAACCCGACGGATTGCACCGTATATGTTAACAGTGCCAATGAATTCAGTAGACAGGTAAGTGTACAGGATCAGTTGAACCTACAACACCCAATCAGGAGATCAAAAAATCATTACAGCAAAATTGCAGCACATGAGAAAATGCCGTTCTTAAATTACATCCATTAAAATGTCCTAAAGAAATAGATCTTCTCTGCATAGCTCACAAAGCTCTTCAGACCCTTGCAAAACTGACGAAAAATTCAACTGTATTTCTACAACTGTTACATGGAGTGCTGTGTCATTTTTTAAGTTGGTCCACACTACACTCACGGGAGCATGAAAACATGGTATTCACACACTCACAGATAGCTGAGATTGCAAGGCAGCTCTGGAGATCATGTAGTCTAACCTCTCTATTCTGAACACCAGGTCACATGTAAGTATTACAGAAACTTAGATATTTATTATAGGCTTAAATATTAATTATTGCTTCTTTACTTACACATCTGCTTTCCTTTTTCCTTCTGAGAAATAATGACTTAAATAACATTTCATAATTTAGCTGTAGCAAACAAAAAGGTTTTATGATGATTTCAACAGTAGCATTGTTAGTGTTGTTTCAGTTTTTGAAATGCAAAACAAACCCTTAAAGAAGGGATAAAAACAATTTGCTAAGAATGTTTTGAGTAAAACCAACTGGAAAGTTTCTATTCAAGCTGTTTGTACTCAGAGAACATAGATTCACTGAAACAAAAATAATCTGCCTAAAATATGTCGATTTAAATAAAGACTTCAAATCTGACATCCAGGACAACTTCTCTTAAAAATCATTGCGTTTTTGTCAACTAACCCATCCAAATTTCCTTCTCAATCTACAAGACTGATTGGGTCAGGGACTCCAGAAGTCACTCCCAACTCTGCTCTGTAGGTTTCCAAACTCCCTGAAAACACTAGAGTCTCCAAAACTTGACAACTACCTGCAGAAAAGCAGAGCTTGAAAGCTGTTCCTGTATGAGTTCTGCTGGAGAGCCTGAATTTGTAATTCTTGGAGTTCAGTCTATCTTGACACTCTCAAATCAATACATCATAAGATATCTTATTCTTAAGAATAAGCAGTTTTACCTGTGCTGGGATATGAATCCATATTGCAGGATTAAGGAGCACATGATCACACAGCTGCTTCAGCAAGGGCACCCCACTGTGCAAGTTGCTCAGGTATTTTGAAAAGGCAAGGCAAAGCTCTAGCACAGCTCGGGTAACGTGGGCTTTGGAAGACTGTAAAAGAAGAACTGCTTGAGGAAGAGCCCTGCAACAGTCCAGGGAAAGTGTTTTCCTTAAATATATACATAAATCAACATTAATGTAAGATATCAAGAAAGATTTGCTTTACCTTTTCTAGGCTATATCCTATCACAAGGAAGCCCTTACAGGAAAGCATCTGTTCTTGCATAGCAATGGAGTTCTTCAACAACTCCATGATGAAAGCCAATAAAGTAGAACTGAAAAATATAATGTTATAGCAAAGAAAGATGTTTTGAAGGGTTAAGATGAGACAGAAGGTATTTCCAAATTAACGCTTCCATCACACAGCCCACAGATATATTTAAGGTGCTCAGATCAGAACTATTAAAACAGAAATCAAGGGTAAATTTTGAAAGTTTTAACTTCTTGTTTTTAATTAACACATTTCTAACTTGAAATTCTGGATTATGAGATAATCATGCAAAACCAAAATTCTTCTGAAAATATGTTCTTGCAGAAAGGCAACAGTTAGGCATGTACTTCTCTCTGTTTGATATTTGACTTAAACTTCTGCGCTTCCTACTGCTTTCAGATGAGCAAATATTGGAAACATTTTTCTAGACACAGCTTTACTATTGGCTCAAGCTAGTTCCCCTCTGTGCTGCCGCCAGAAGGGATGTACATTCTCCTCTCCTTATATGTCAGAGCACTAGTACTTAAGAACCTTAGCCAGCTGAAAACCTCTCTATTGCTGAGCCAGTTTGCAATTGAGAAGCATCCCCAGCTCTTCACACAGATGTCCAAGTCTAAGCCACCTCAAGAGAGGCCCAGGAACATAAAAATGGGCTGAAGGAACATCATGACCATCTCTTCTCTGCAACAATATGGATGTAGATCACCTTTAAACAGTCATGAAACTACAAATGTAAAGAAACAAAGCAAAACCACACAAAGATCTAAAAAGCAATCCCTCTGCTATTTATATTACTCTTTAATCTAGGAGATCTACCAGTTTCTGTGCCTGGATGTTCAGAAGTTGGACTGAGCTGAAATGGAGGTGAAACCAAAGGAAAAGCCTGGCAGTAATATCAAATAATAGTATCTTCCAAAAAGTCTGAAGGTAAAAAAAATAAAAATAAAAAAAATCCCAAGAAATAAGCTCATGCAACTGAAAAAAGTCATCCTTTCTGGAGTTTCTCTTGAAGCCCTCCCCAGTGGATTTTCACCACAACAGGAAAAAGCTCAAGAGAAACATCTGCAATTCCGTTACACAAAAAAAACACGAAGTAGAAATGGGTAAAATTTTGATTTTATGCGAATTTGCACAGAAAATTTAGTACAAATAAACATTTCACTTCAACAACCTTTTTGTTCTTAGACATAATTCATTGTTGTACAAGATGATTTAAACCATTAATGCCACTTAACAGAGCAAGAGGTAATTCCCTTTACAAAGAATACAACACAGTAAGTACTCACCAAACAGTTGTGTCAATGTGGTCTGATGAATATTGCCTATAGTCCAACTGTGCAAAGAGAGGAAAAAGTACCTGCACCCCTCCAATGGAGTGCAGGGCACTTTGGATAGAATGTGTTAAGACTGCTTTCACATCCTGGCAAAGAAAAATTAAAAAAGATTGAAAACTCCTTCAGAAACTGTTAAAACATTGGTTAGAAATAGTTTGAAATTTCAAACTATGGAGATAGGTAATATCTATAGGGGAGTGAACATATCAGAAATGAGGAAAAAGGAATTCTTTTTAAAAGCTAAAATGTTTTTTGTAATTCTGACATTTTTCAGGTTGTAACTTTGATAAAATAACTTTTTTCTTTTGCTTGTGTATCCACATTAATTCAAGAAACAGGGAATGTAGCAGTGAGGAAAACTCAAAAAACTCAACCCATCAGTAGTTCCGTATGTTGTCCAAATTTAGGTTTTCAAACAGAAATCATTTATATCCTTTAAATTTCTGAAAACTTCGAAGTACCTGCAGCATGAGGGCATGTGGTGAATGAACAAAAATGGAAGGGTTATCCTTAGGAGATGACTCTAGACACAGCTGTGCATCTGTAGCCCTTGGATTGTACATAAAAGCAATAGCACTGGATAGTTTGCCATCATATAGCAACAATTTGTGATGTTCGGCGAGGAAGAGATCACTTTCTGCTTTGAATTTGAAGGTTCCCTAGATTGGGGAAAAGAAAAAAGTCAGATTACACACATTGATAATACATCTCAGAACACAACTACTGCCAAAACAGTGACTAAAACATTGCTTCTTCGATCTAGCAATATTTCAGAAAGAAAGAGTCTTATAGGAACTCAGACTCAAAGCCAATTTTACAGAGTTAGAACTGCAGAAGAGTTTTTTGACCCCTGAAGAGCGACATTGCCAAAATGGTGTGTAATATGAAAGAAATACATTAGTCTGGAAACAGAATGACAGTCAGCAATGTTCAGTCAGAAGGAACTAATAATTGAGGAGCAGACAGAAGAGGAACCATCTTTTTAAATGTATGTTTGTACAGCTGCTAGGGAGTAACAGTCTTCAATAAGTGCCCCTCAGGCTATGACAAAACAAATAATAAATCACTGCAACACAACTAATCCTCAGCCCTAACTTCACGCATTAAAAAAACAACTGACTAGGCACAATCAACTATAAAGCTACATTTCTAAAACAAATACATCACACTTCATCTAAAGTTTTCAACCTCAGTGAAAAAAGGAACCTAGTCAAGAGATAATAGTCAAGTTCTCCCTCCCACTAACATGGAAATTTTGAGAAGGAAACAGAACAAAAATTTATTTTTATAAGAAAATAAACAATTGAATTAATGCTTACTTGTAGTCTGTGAGGCAATACATAGGTTTATAGAAGAAACATGAAAGAGTTGAATAAAAAGATCACACAGTAAGAACATTTTTAGAATTACCCAAGAGGTGTCACAGCATTCTTAAAAGAGTCTTCACTTTGGAAACTTGCCAGTTAATTCTAAGATACCTTATATCCCAGACCAAGCTGATAAATGGCAAAGATCTGAGCAGCGTTGAGAGCCTCACTAAACAGGTAAACAGACGTCATCTGTCCACAAAACACACGATTGGCATCTGCTGTTTCTGAAGAACCCAGGAAACATTTGTCAAATGTCTGAAAATTAAACAGAAGCCAGCAACAGGGTTTAGACACAAGCAAATTATGCAAAGTACACACATATTATCAGGGAGTATTATTTTTACATAAACAAGCATCTGAGAGTCTTGGCAGAAACAAGTTTTAAGTTCTGAGATGTCTAAAAGCAGAATCTACTCCTCCACCAAAAAGGTATTATTTGTATGTAAACATTTTTTTTTAAATGCATAAAATGAGTGAGGTTTATTAATAAAATGGTAAAGGATATCTATTTAATCCACCAGGATGACCAACTAGATCTAGTAGTATACAGGGATTACTTACATCACTGGTGTTGACAAACCACGTTATTTCTCCATAAGATGCCAGTTCCCCATTCACGTAACATCGAAGTTCACTGTTCTTCCAGCGGTTATAGATGTGCACTATAGTAACCATATACCACTAAATGATAAGAAGAAGAAAAAACTGACACAATTCTATAAATACCTAAAGTACCTTAAGCATTGAAGTGGGGCATAGTAGAACAAATTCAACTATTTTTGTGAGTTAAATCAAGACTGAAAGACTAGGTCATTGGTGAGTTTTCTTACAGAGCTACGGCGAAAGATAATTATGCTATTTTTTCCACAAAAAGTAGACAGAGAAGGTTAGAAGATATTTATGGCATAGAACTCAAAAAATCTTCATGACAATGCTGAAACCACTGTGTAAATAAGTTTTAAGTTTGGTTACTCTTAGCATGATAAACTACTGCAAATGTCATTCCAAAGAGCAAGGATGGCTCCAGACTAAAGACTTTCAAAGGCTGGGCATGTCAAATTATCACAAACAAAATCCATATTTACAGCAAGGGATTACTGATAAGAAATTCCTGAGGAGGCCTGTTCTTCCACAAAATGTTTACACCAGTTGCTCCAGAAACATTAGCAGAATATCTAATTGAAAAAGGAAACATTTTCAACATAGCATGCTACCACTTAATAGGCAAGCAGGCCTTGAACATCAACAATATAACCAATTTATATCTTACATTTTAAAAGATACACAAAACATGAAATACAAGGACACTATCTTCTGGACAACCTGAATGAATATAAAGTATAACAAACTTTCACGAATGAGTCTGTTCTCTCACTTGTAAGAATCAAATTTGTATTAATGGCCCTAATTTAACTGGGAAAACGAAACATGGGTTAATAATCATGCTTTCTTAAAATGCCACTGCATTTGTCCACATTGAGTAAGTAATGACATAAAGGGGAGACTCAGCAGAACCATTTCTGTAAACGGAGAATATCTGGAGGTGAGAGAAAACAGCATAAACAGAGAAGGAAAAAGTCACAAGCCTTGTAACTTTCAAGCTGTGCATACGTCCTTATTCGGAAAACTCGTGAGTCTCACAAATTCATCCAACTTTTGGTAAACCACATTTTCTAGCTCTTTCTTATACATTTCATAAGTAAATTAAAAAGAAGCAAGAACTCAAAACACAGATTTGTTTTGCTCGTTCCAGTGTAACTGTTCTTATACAGAAAAACAAGCCTAATAACTAAAACACTCCCTCCTAGGCTACATTTTTAAACTCATGAAACCTGTTTGAAAGATTTTATTATTTTTACTCACCTTTTGTGGCTTGAAATCAAATTTTACACAGTGCTGGAAACCTTTTCCCTTTGATTTTATGGATGTTACAATCAAGCAGCTTCCAACAAAGTGAGCAGAATAACCAAGTCCTTTGTTTGTCCGAAAACTAACAAAAGAGAACAAAATCAGCACGTACACAGATGGAAGCAGAAATCATTGAAAAATTAATAGAAACTGAACACCAGAAATAGAGGTTTACGTTATACTCACCAATATAAGTAAGGCTTATCCTTATCAACATTGATATTATTTACAGGATCCATTCTTAGCCAAGTGTGGAAAGTAAACCCATTCTGGTACGGCCACTTGGCTATAGGAGGTAAGGCAATAGCCTAAGGAAAGAAAACAGTTACTACTGGAGAAAGAACATCACAATAGCAAGAGAATACAGCTTCAGATACACACTACAAATGTGTGCAGTTTCTCCATACAAAAAAAAATATAGCCTAAGTTCTGTGTTTTTGTACTCCATTGTTGAAAATATGTGATTAAACTACATATTTAAAAAGTGGTCTTTGTATCTCAGAGATTACTAATAGTAACCTGCACATCAAATATTAAACGCTTCAGCGAAAGCCTTGCAGCATAAAAATTCCTCAAAATGCAAATATAAGTCAAGTGGGTTTTGTAGTAACCTGATAGAATAACCAGATTTGGAAGCTTCTTTTCCCATAGTGTTGGTATTCAGGAAAACAACTGATTATGAAAAGAAGCCAGCCACAAAAACAGTATCATATACATTTCACTTTACAGATTCTATTCTCTCACAAAACTCACACATGTATGTAGCCTTCCAGTTAAAGTTTAACTTCCTTAAACAAAAGGTAGCACTAATCCTCACCAGCCAAAAATCTTCGCATCAAATGCTAAGTAAGCTCAAAAGCTCTTAAGTTATAAACTGTGTGTCAGTGCTATTTGTTTCAATCAGTTGAGGTTTATCGTGTGGGGTTTTTTGTTTGGTTGTTGCTTTTTTTTTTTAAACATTACTGTCAACTTTCCGCTGCTTTGCTGCAGAGATTTGCAATACACATTTCAACTAAGGCTGCCATAGCCTCTGATCAAAGATGCTGTGCAGATGATCAATACCAATGAACAAAAAACATCAAAGAACTCGAGTGTCGCCAGACTCCTTATTATGCTCCCGTGCTCCACTCAGCTATCCCTGTCCCAACAAAATGCTATAAATCCTTCTCTATACCAGCCAACTAATCAGTCTGCATGTCTCCAAGTCCAACTTTTGGGTATACGTAGCATTATAGTTTGGTTTAACTATTAATTGATCTTGGAGTAATTATATGAAACAATTCTAAAGATTTCTTAATTTAAAAATATGTAAGAGTATTCACATCAAGGTTGGTGATGCATTCCAGTATCACATATGACTCAAGTATTCCCAACACAATAATTAGAAGTACAAAACCAGTATGTAAAGAGCCAAAAGGATCAAAAACATGTGATAAACATGTAACTGCAGAAGCTTTTTTCTAGTAGTCTGCATTTTCCAGTCTCAAGTTTTCAGTCAAAAAAAAAATTCATTACATCACCAAGTTTGTAAAATTTCATCTCAAGCCACCGAGGCAGGAAGGTAATGAGTTTATGTGAACAAAACTGGGAAGAGTCATCTGATAAATCTTAATCAAACCTTACTTTGAATTAAGCACAAAGTTTTGAACATACTATTTCATCCTAAGATTTTAGGAGCAGAACTGTCGATGCATTGAATTCATACAGAAGATTCTGCACCGTGTTTTCCAACCTACTTATTTACAAATTCTTTTTCCAGTGAACACCACAGAACTTAAAAATTAGACAGCCACCTGTCTTAACACTCAATATTATTCAACCTATACATGTCTGGGACCCACACTTTCTCAGAGAATCCTTGTAAGCAATGTGTGTTACTCACATCATCTGATTACTAAAAGAACTAACGAATGATGCAAGTATTGCTGCTTCTAATCCAACACTTTCTGTGGTTTAACTAGCAAAGGTTTCTAGATGTGAGGCTGTACTGGGTTTGGTGGCAAGGGTCTGGTAGTGGGGGAGAGCTTACAGGAGTGGCTTCTGTAAGAAGATGCCAGAAGCTTCCCTCCTGTCCAACAGAGCCGATGCCAGCTGGCTCCAAGACGGACCCAAGAAGGGAAGGGGTGGGCAGAAGGTGTTCTAAGATTTGGGTTTATTTCTCATTAGCCTACTCGGATCTGATTGGTAATAAATTAATTTCCCCAAGTTAAGTCTTTTTTGGTGAGTGCCCTCCTTGTCCTTACCTCACCTGGTGAGTCTTTCATTATATTTTCTCTCCCCTGTCCAGGTGAGGAGGATAAAGCAGCTTTGGTGGGGACCTGGCATCCAGTCAGGTCAACCCACCACAAAGCCACTCTCACGTGTACTGGATACTAACACAAGCACCATTCCCACAGAAACATGGGAGTGAAAAGAAGGTAGATTCTCCTTGCAACAAGATTTAACTGAGCCAGTCCGGGGGGAGGAAAAAAAAAAAAAAAGTAACACCTGAAAAAGCAGCATTTATGTCCATTCTTTACATAACAGCTTTTGTTCTACTATAGCAATAATGCATATTTATTAAAACATGTTTTATTTAGGCATAACTATGTGTCAGGAAGAGAAAAAACTTTGGTTGAAACTATGTATACAACAAGAACAGATAAGAAAAAAGAACACCACAAATTAAAATAACCAATGGCCATAACTGAACAATAAATAAACAAACAAAGTGTCTTAAAATATCTACATACTGCAGCACTTTTTCCTGGAAAGTTGAAGAAGGCATCAGGTCCATACTTCTGAGGCATGTGTTTTAACACAGATAATAACTTCCCAGCATGTGGTGGCTGACAAAGAGAATTATTACACTTGTAAATAAATAGAACACACCTATAAAAAAAAAAAAGACTATACACACAAAAAATTAATTTTGACACATTTTAAAGCTTTGCACATGGTTGAGCAACACTCTGCTAAGACACTCAGCAGTTTTAATAAGTAACGTTTACAAAGAGTCATAGATACCTTCACACAATACACAATAGGTGCACTGAAACACAATTAATTGGATAACTAAATTAAGGACTTAAAGGTCAGAAGCACTTGCATCCAGTATAAACTAAACTGATCCTGAATGTTGCTTCCTCCCTCTACCTGTTCACTCCCATCAGTGCTACTGTTTGTGAGGATCTGCAGAGATGCAGCTGAACAAATGCAAACCGATTTTCAGTTACAGCAGTTTTGGATCATGGCTGCATGAAACCTGGGCCAGCACAAGGGAGATGGCGAATGCCTAGCAAAAGGAAGAAAGAGGATGGGCAGATGGGACTATCTTCATCGGGACTACAGTCATATACTAGATCTGTGTGTCTTTGTTTACATACACCCCTTCCTGAAAGTCCATGGAGGAAGATTCAAGTCTCAAGGGTAGGTTTAGGAACACCTAAACAGAGTGCCTGATCAGCGTGAATGCTTAACGCTTCCCCACCACCACCTTAATTCTGCACTGATTTTGTTGTAACATTCAGCAACTATAAACTACAAATGAAGTACATAAGTGTACGACAGAAGTACAGCAAATACTGGTGATAGCGACAGAACAATCTTCTCTTACACCTTCATAACTTGCCAGTAGAACTATTTTTGAACTAGAATTTTACACTTCTGCTCTTTCACCCATTCTCCTCTTGTAAGGATTGCACAGTTGTTACAAGTATTTCAAATGTACCAAAATTACAGGGAGATAAATGGTGGTTCAGGAATCTGAATTAAAGTTGAGGAGGAAATACTGAAAACTGCTTAGATGTCTTCAGCACTATGGAATGGAACCAGTTGATTTGTGTTGCAGCCAAACAGTTTGTATCTTTACAGAACTGCTGATTTTAAGATTTATGGAGCTGTGGAACTCCTTAGCAATGCAACTGTGGCATTTTTCTCTTCCTTTCCTCTATATTTAGTCTTTAATAAAGAAAGGAAATTAAATGCAAATAGCAGAGAGACAGGAAATGAAAAAAGTTAATGTTACAGAGACAATTTTAATTTATCTGTGGTTAACTATACTCTGCACGTTCAATTATTAACTTTAAACCCTCTATTAAGTTTAGAGTATTTTTATTTGTGCAAAATATCTGAAGTTATTTATTTTAAAGGGTCTTTTAAATTTTCCTATATTGTTTATGCATCCTGGCTTTTAAATTGAGTTCTTTGTTTTAATTATTTGAAGTCAACAGAGACACTGTGCTACTTTTTGTCTACAGTAGGCAGAGTATTTAGAGATAACAGGAACAGAATCAAAAAATCAAAGCGGGTAAAACAACTGTTAAAACAGATCTCAATTCCCGCAAAACAATTTTGTGTTAAAGAAGATTATTTGGTGGTCTCTACAACACATCCATTTTTAATTTCTGGATGGAGATTCTCTTCTCCCCTTCTAGTCCACACAGGAAGAGGAAAAAACACATGACAGATTTTTCAGCTGGAGCTTCTTTCCTTCATTTCAATTTCTGACACAAATTCTTACTTCCCTAACTTCAGGTAAAGAACAACAATGTGAAAATAGGAACATACTGAAGTGCCTATGCAGACATGTTTTATTCATTTCTCTCTAATGTATTAAAAAATAAAATTAATCTTTCTCTTCAATTTCACATTACTGGTACTACAAAAATAAAAATGTGCATCAAGACACTTGTTTAGAGTCCCCATATTAATCCCATGTGTTCAAGAAGACCAATCTAGTGCATAGATCAAGGAAGAAATTTAATCTCATCACTATTTTAATACCTTACAAGTAAAAGGATTAATTGATATAATATCAGAAGGTATCCTGCATTTCTTGGTACATTTAAAATTTTTTTATTACAATGGTTATCAAACAGCCTTGCAATTTGTCAACATTAGGAAAAATATATAAGCAACACTACAAAAATGGTTCCAGTTTTGTGGTTTTTATTACCCATCTCCCTTTTTCTCCTTGAAGTTTGCTGAAGAATAACTTTAGCTCTCGAACGGTCAAGTTATAGCTAGCCAACACACCCAGCATATCCACCAAGAGATCTGAAAAGAACAGCAAGATAACTGCTTAATAAAATGCAAAGTCAGGTTTCTATCACTTAATAAATGTTTCCATGAGATTTTTATGTAAAAGGAATATAGTTTGAGTCATACACTGGATAAAACTGTACCTGCAATCATGTTGTCAGCTTTATCAATCCTCTTGAGCACTTGTTCAACAAGTCCCACCTCTGTGCATGCTTGCAGATTGCGTATACTTTTCTTGAGGATTGCTGTAAACATGCTCCACACCTCAGCCTGGCAGGTGACATCACACTTGTCCAGCAAGTCCACCATGCAGGTGATGCCCTCTCCTTCTTGGATAATAAAGTTAATTTCCAAGTCAAACTGGCCCCCAACAAGCTTTCAGAGAGAAAATAATAAATAAATAAAAAAAACCAACTTGAGACAACTGTATCAAAGTACCATTTTATGTTTAAAGTTATTAATTCTGCAAGACAAAAGCTATCAAAGACATAAGCTAAAAAAAAAAATGTGAGGCCAGTACCCCTATACTAAGCCCTATTCTTCCTTTAAGTTCTGTTGAGTAATTTCAAAGTTGCTTCTAAGGTGCCACCTACTATCAGACAATTGCTGCAGAACACTTGCGTAATTTAAGATACAGATGTCCCTAGCTGCCCTCACACAGCTGAAAAGTGAAGAGAACAAATGAATGGCCAAAAACAGGCAAGAGAACCAAGTCAGCTAAAATACCTTAAATGGCCTGGAGTGGCCCTAAAAGCTCTCCCTAGGAGGAGTTTAACACTCCTCAAACAAGAGGGCAATTCTAGCCAAGAAGGAGCCAATGCACATCAGAAACGTTACCACTTACAAACCCTTGAGTCATTCCTGAGATGCTGAGTAAAGCTGGTTAAGCATTAACTGCCAGCTTCACTAGCAGCCACAGGTACTAAAAGAAAGCAAAATCTTCCTGTATCTGCATGAATGCCAAACAGCAGCATTGCTTTTAGCCTGACTATGCTTTGGGTAAGGCACTTAAATCCTGTAATATTTCAGGTCTCTTAGAACCAGGCTGTGTTTGAACGTACCTCAAGTAACTAACCACACGCACACATGCCAAGGAGGTGGAGGCAGGAAGGAAATACCCTACTTCATTCTCACTTGTGTGCTCAGTAAAATAAAAATTCCAGATGAAAGAGGTATTGCACTCTACCTCGATTCTCCCTGCTCCACTTTTTAAACGTCTCTTAGACTTTCGAATTGCATTAAACTTAATGCTTGCCAACACACCCATTATGCATCAACACACAAACAGGAATTCAAGATAGCATCGACTGGAATTATCACAATGGACACATGATCAAAAGAATTTCAGCTCATTCTCACTTCTGCAAGTTTGTCTAATAAAAGATATTATTCCTGTCCTACGTGGTGTTCCTTTCACAGGCTTTGACCATTAAGAGCTTCCAAAGTCTCACTTGCTGAAATCATACCATGTCAAAGCTGCTCCTAAAGGCATAGCCTAACTAGCTTCCACATCAGTCCCAGAAGCATCTTGCAGCTAGTCAGGATCTGAAGAAAAACTTACACAACAAAATAGAAGCTCTTCATTAACTACTGAAATTACCATACATTTTCCTCAAGTATCTCAATCTTGTCACTTTGAAGAAGCAATTTGTGGTCTTCTGAGCATAAATCAGTAATGCCAAACACCAGAAGAAGCAGAGAAAGTTACTATTTTTATGACAGAATAGACAATGTCTCATGGCAATGATTTCTAAACAGTAATTTACACTTTTCCATTTTCTCCCCTCTTGGTCATGAAACATAATTATGCAATTTACTATCAGATGCTTCCGTAATATCTAAGGAAACCACGGGAATTGAATGAGGGGACTTGAATTATATTCCCAGCTTCTCTATATCAAGTCCCGCTGTCAACTCAAACAAATCTATCAAGTCATTACCATTCTCCAAGCCTCAGTTTTCCCCTTCCATAAGATAGAGCAGAGGCCTACCTGAAGAAAGCTCTGAAAGGTAGAAATCAAGGGAAAATGCTGAACAGAATGGATTAGCAAAGGATTATCACAAAAGAAACACAAAGAAAAGGTACACACTCCTTAAAAAAAAAAAAAAATCCTGAACAAAACATTTGAAAACGAAAAATACGTAACCAATGTTGCACTTCATTTTATGGTAAATTTACTATCCTATACAAAACTGAGGCATTTCTCAAGAAGCCACTCCCTTTCTCACAATCAAGGTAAGCAACAAAGAACGTACTGCATTCTGCATACAGACAGAACTGCTGAAAGTTAAGTTCTAGCCACAAAACACCTGCTAATTCTTAACAAGAAATTCAACTCTTTGTGTGTTCGCTTTTAACTATCAGCCAACCATCCATTATCGCACCAAAACCAGATACAGCAACTAGAGGTGACCTTACCTTCACCCTATAGCCTACCCCACCAATCTTTCATTTTTGGCTAGATACACTATTATCAGTAACCACCCATCCAGGAAGCTGTCAAATTAGGTTTCCAATCTAATCTGCAAACATAAGCATTTCAGCAAGTACAATCCAGAAATAATATGCGTTGGTAGAAATAATTAGCATTTAAACATTTCCTTTACGGCAAGCGAGGACAAAAAGCCTGACAGAGGAAGCAATACACCAACGGCACAGCGCAGTTGATGTACTATATGTATGCATACCCATTAGATACACATAAGCCCCCAAACACACACCCCCCACAGTATTTCACATTAACCCTTTCTAATGGTGATTTGAAACTGATCAACCTTCAAAACACAAATTTGTTTCCAATGACAGGGATCATAATCCGGGTCCATGCATTGGCTAGTTATTATCTGAGCTGCAGTAATGGCTGTGCACAGCAAAATGTAATCTTCCCAAATGTCACGGTAAGTTATGAATATCTGAGCAGCTTAATGCACCTTACTAGCCATGAAGTGTGAGAATGTAATCTTATTACCTTTTTTATGGTTGTGTTTTTTTGAATAATGTAGCCTTTGAACTGATGTATAGTCTTTCCTTGCACTTTAGCATGATTTGGTCTCCTATGTCACATCGTACATTTTTCAAAATTCTCCAATTCAACGTATTTTAAGTCCTATGCTGAGCTGCATAAACAATCTTTATAGCAACCTACAGGGTGGCATAACATTTTCAGTCTTTGGCGTGTAAGGAGAAGCTTACAGGAATGGTTTTAATGTGCAGTATTCAAAAGTATTCAAATACGTCCTCACAAATTTTACATTTTGCCAGTTATGTTTACCTTTGAAAAGTATACAAACTAAACAAATAGCTCAAGCCTTCTTTGTAAAATGCTTCTACATTTAGCAGAGAACAGGGAGAGTACAGTAATTTTTAACTACACACTCAGTATGATTTTTTTTTCTCCTTAGAGATTCAAACTAACATGAAGTCAACATAATAGTACTAACTTAAAGTATAAAATAGCACTATATCACTTCCAAATAGAAACAAAAAGCCAATTTAAACAAAACCCAAAAACCTCTCCTTGCAATGAACCTTCCACCTAACACAAAATGGGAGAAGTAATCCAAGATACTGAAGAAATAGTGCATTCTTTGGGTGAGCAAGTACCAGACTACAACATAGATAGCTCAGAATAAACACAGTCAAGCTCCACTTTCCTGAAAGATCATGATCTAGATTACAAATTGAATTTAAAGTCATTTCTCGCAGCGGCAGATATAGAATATCCCAAAACTTTGTAAGAAAGTCTGAAGAGAAGTATTTCAGTTAACTGTAAAAGAAATAAAGTCCATGACTACAATCAGCATCTCTCCTGGAAAAGTCAAACTCACTATACGTGGGAGAACCGTAGGGCTGGATGTCCACAGTTTTACCTCAAACCTTCAAAGATCACTTCACTTTTGCAGAGTTTCCTCATCCTTCCAGTTACTAGATAACTTACATGCCAAAACAAGCACCCTTGCTTTGCTCCTTAAAGTCAGGATGAAAGAATTATTAACCAAGCAAACCGTGACCTCCCTTTTCCTCAAGATGTTCATTTTGTAATCTCAGAATTGTTTCTTTCAGTATGTCCAAAATGACAAGTATGGGCAATGCCTGTCCAATGGAAAATGCCTGTCCCATGAGGAAAAAAAATGCAGTCAAATGGGCCAGCTCTATGTCAGTGGAAATTTTAGAAGCTGCAAATCTCCGTGTACAAAGGTGACAACTGCCCAAAAATCTTCTCATTCTAAGATTAAGACACTTATACAAGATCAAGAATTTGCTGAAACTAAACGAGTTGCCATTTCAACAAGGTTTGATACAGTCTATATTTCACAAAACAGCTATGATGTTATCCAAAATGGTCCTATTCTTACTGCAATTTTACACCATGTCAGTCTAACCAAGGCTAAAAATAAATAAAAAAATCCCATGTTTTTCATCCCTCGATGATGTAATCTGAATACAGCTCCTGGAGAATAGAAACACAAAGATGACGAATACATTTTAGCTTCTGAGTAACAGTAAGAGTAAATATAAGCAAAGAATATTATATTCATCTTCCACCAAAATAGTAACTCACATCCTTGACTCCATCCCCTTTTGTATATTCAAAAATTCGAATTTACTGATCGTCAGAAATACATGCCAAAGATGCAGGAAGTACAAGAACTTGTCTTTAGGGCAAGGATCTCACAGGGTCCTAAGTGAACCCAAGCCAGTCAAATCTCCTGGGAGTACACAGTCAAAGTCAACACCGTGGTACATATCCTGGCTGGGATAAAAAGACAATTCTAATTTGGAAATGTCTCCACAGAGCAGAAAAGGAAAAAGGCAGAGGAAAAGAATAACACATACAGCTTAATTTGCTGCAACCCACTCTCTGCCCTTCACCGCCCACGCAGTTTTTTTATCACTTACACAACACCTGGAGGTGAGAACATGTTAAAATATGAATCCTAAGAGGATGTCTGGTAGGAGAGCCTGTTGATAACTGGGATAAGCATGTCAAATAGCGATAACAGCATGAATGTCAAGTCCAGTGAAACCATGACAAAGAGCGCTCAGGGCCAGAGAGGTTACAGGGAGTCAAGAAAGGGACAGAAAAAGCCTGCATGTCAACTTGTTTTTCCCCTCAATATATTGCCACTACCTCAACCATAATGCAACCAGAAAAACTTGGCAAAGCACAAAGACATGGGAAGATCCACTCATGAAAGGTGAGGTCATAACCCTCCAGCAAGGCACAGATGATTTAATGCCATTCACTACCTTAGCAGTAGCTCGAAGCTGAAAGTCAGACCATGAGTAATGCAAGTGGCTGGTGACTCTTTCACAGAAGGAAAGACTCTACTGGATCCAGCCTCTTTCATAAGTATCCTCTCTAACTCTGTTC